TGAAGGAAGAATCTGCTGGCAAATTCTTGTATGTGAGGATTCCCCGTGTCTTTGTTACCTGCCCCTTTTGGAATTTTTTATTGGGGGCTTTCTTCGGTTGTGTGTGCAGTGTCCCCCACTCTTGCCCGTGGTTTCTTTTGCCCTGGGGGATTACAGCGGCCCGGGGGCTGCGCCTTGGTTCTTGAGTTTTTTATTCTTGGCCCTTGCTCCTTGTGTGGGTAAAGTTTTAGGGGTTGGGGGTTGCAGACTTGCTTCTTGCACTTTGCTTTTTTGATGGCGGGTTTAGTTGTTCGAGGCAAAACCTCGGGTTGGACAGTTTGGTGGTGGGGGGGCAGGGGAGGGCTTCTGGGAATTTACCCCCGTACAGGGGGCCAGCTGGTCCATCTCCATGTCAGGTGGAGGTTGTGACAGTGGTGGCCACAGAGTTAAGCTGGCAATATTTGGGGTGGTTTTTTTAGGTCTCAGTGGGGGTGGAATCAGGGAATGGGTTAGGATGTTGTTGGTTTGAATACTTTGTTGATGGGGAGTTAAAGAGCCAGGCAAGCTGTTTGCCATGGCATACTGATGCAACTAGGATCTTGTGGGATCGGGAGCAGGGGCTGTGGGAAGGGTAGGAGCAGCTTTCGGGCTTGTAGGAAACTTGGGAGTGTCTGCTTTAATCTTGGCAATAGCAGAATATGTGGATGCTTTTGTTTGGGTTTGTTGTAGCTGTTGTTTCTTGAGAGCCCTTCTGATAGGGGCCCAAAGGCAGAAGAGTTAGATGGCTCCTTGCGTTCAAGCTTGGGTGGGGAAGCATGTGAATTCGAAGCGTGGGCCCCCAAAGGGCCCCAGGTGGGGCATACTTCTTTTCTTTGTCAGGGCAGTTTTTTGGGGATATGCGGATGAGAACATTATAGCATGGGGATTTGTTTGGGTTTTTTCTGCTCAATGAAAGGCTGGGTTGAATGGAAGTAGTGTTAGCCAGGGGCCCCCCCGCAGGGCTCTGGCTGAAAAAATTTCGTCATGAAGGTGACCTTTACATGGAGGAGGCGTTGGGGATCTTGGGAAAAATTCAACCTTGCCCAGGAAAACTGGCTTCAATGGCACTTATCTCTTCAGTAGTTGTGTATGATGGTCTGTCGAGTCTCCTGAGGAACCAGTTTTTTCTGGGCCCCCAGTGCTGGGGGAATTCAAAACAGGAAAACCATGAACTTGTAGCGTGGAGACAGCAGTAGTGGGGAGGGAGGGGTTTTCGGGTTCAGTGTTTGTCAGTACAGACGACAATGAAGGCTTCTTTGAGTGATGAATCACATTGCACTTAACGCAGTCGCCATAAAGACGATGCAAGTGCTAGCTTTTGTTGAGTCGTTGATTATTCATTCCTGGCTGAATCTTTACTCTATTAATTTTAAAACATCGGGGTAGCATGTTTCCCCCCCCCAAAAGGGACGAGGGAGCTAAAAATAACATAAGCATGTTGGACACCCCATGAAATCAATGAAATTAAACAGTTTTTTAAAAAGACCCTTTGACGGAGAAAAAAATTGAAGCTGCACTAATTTGTCAGTAACACTAAAAGCAAAAATCCGGAGTTAAATTTCAAAAATTTCTAAGCAAGAGGAAATGGCAATGGTTTAAGTGGAAAGTGTAAGGAAATTCCTGGTAAAGAAAAAAAAACCCTCGAAGCTATAATCTGGTGAAGTAGAGTTGGTCATAAAAAGTAAAAAGACTTGGGGGTCATGGTAACAAAAATCTAAAGCCAAGACAGAGTGCCTCAGTGTGCCAACAAGGCCAACAGATTACTTGGATTTACTCAAGAATATAAGAAAGAAGTCCCAAAAGAAAACAGCCATAATCCTAGTGAGGCCTCATTTTGATTATGCTGCTCAGTTTTTGGCCCCTTACTACAGGGTGGACATAGACTCATTTGAGAACATACAGGAAGAAGACAAAATGATTTACTGTGAAGGAACCTCCCCCATGAAGATAGATTTAAAGCCTTTAAAACTCCCCCCTTTTGGGGAGGCGTAAAGAGGGGAGATATCAGAAGTGTATAAAGGGATACGGGGATAAACAAAGGGGGACTTTAAAGTACTGAGGGTGTCGAACCAGGAAGAACCAGGAATAATGGATTTAAGTTGGATAAATTTAGATTTTAAAAGGACATAGGGAAGACTGGTTTTCTAACAGATGTAGATGCGTGGAACATTTCCCCTGGGGGATAAGGGTAGACCTTGGGGAGCTTTAAAAAGGAAGGGGCAAAAATAGAGTGGGGGGGGCGGGTTTGATTGGGGTTGGGGGGGGCGGAGTTGTTTCTTGAGTTTTAGGTAGATGTCGTTTTGAAAGGACCGCCCCGTTGGGGCCCGTAGGCCCTGCAGTGTTCCTACATTCTTTTTCTTAGTTCTTATATACCCATCCGGGGAAATGGGTTACTTGAAAGGAGGAGCCCCTGCAGCAGGGCCTGTTGGCCCATATAGGCAGGTCCTTTACAATTCACCCACTAAAACATTTGACCAAAACCCCAATTTTTAAAGCTACCCAAAAAAAAAGCTTTAGTGCAAGTCCCCCTCAAAACCAACACCCCCCCTAAGAACATAAAGTAGGGAAAATGCAGAAGGCCTACTGGCCCATACGGGCAGGGCCTTATCAAAACGACATCTACCCAAGCTACTCAAAAAAATCCCCGTACCCCTTGCACCAATGCCCCCGCCCCCCCCGCTCATAATTTGTCCAGTCTCTTCTTAAAGCTACCCAGGTCCTACCTCTACACCCCCTAAAAAATAAGAATTAGAACCTGAGGGGCCTAAATGGCCCCTACGAGGGGTCCTTTCAAAACGATCTTACCTAAAGCACTAAGAAACAACCCCCCACCCCCAACACAAACAAACCCCGCCCCTCCCCCCTCTATATTTGTCCCGCCTTCTTTAAAACTACCCCAATCCTAGCCCCTATCACCCCACTGGGGAAAACTGTTCCCCCATCTACAACCGGTAGAAACCCCGTACTTACCTATGTCCTTTTAAATCTAAATTTATCCCCTTAAATCCATTATTCCTGGGTTTTTCCTGGTTCGACCCCTCATACTTTATTAAAGTCTCCCCTTTTTATGCCCGCTCCCCTTATACATTCAATGATATCTCCCCTCATTCTGGAGATTTAAGGGCTTTAATCAAACTTCATACTGGGGGTTCCTTACACATAAATCATTTTATCATTCTTCTCGTTGTTCTTGATGATCCTGCCATCCCGTATAAGGGACCAAAACTGAGCAGCATAATCTAAATGATGCCTCACTAGTTACTTATACTTCTTGAGATAAATCCAAGTAATCTGTTGGCCTTGTTGCGCACACTGAGGCACTGCTGTCTTGGCTTAGATTTCTGCTTACCATGACTCCCAAGTCTTTTTCACATTCTGTTGACCAAGCTCTACTTCACCTTGATTATAGCTTCGAGGGTTATTTTCATTACCAAGGGCAAGTACCTTACACTCATCCACATTAAACTTCATCTGCCATTTCTCAGACCAAGACATTAATTTGTTCAAATCGTCCTGGAGTTCATTGATATCCTCCTCTGAGTGAATTATACGGCCTATCTTTGTATCATCAGCAAACTTACTCATGTCACTAGTAATCCCTTCATCAAGGTCATTAATGTAAATTATGAACAAGAGAGGGCCTAAAACTGATCCTTGTGGAACGCCACTAGTGACTAATCCCCATTCAGATTTCACTCCATTAATGGTAACTCTCTGCTTTCTATTGGTTAGCCATGCCTCAATCCATGCTAGAACTTTACCTCCTATACCATGAGCTGCCACTTTTCTTAAGATGTAGGGAACTTCAGAAGGATTTAGACAAACTCGATTCTTGGTCAGAAAAGTGGCAGATGCAGTTCAGTGTAGATAAATGCAAGGCTCAGCTATTGTTTATTTATTATTTCTTTCCTCGACCAGTAGTCACCCTTGCCCTAAGAGTCTCCCTTGATCCCTCCATATTGTTGTGACAAGCAGTCACCTGTTGTACAGGCTTTGACTAGTATGTCTGGAGTCTTTACACAGTCACAAGGACAATACTGGCAGTGTAACCTGACTACGGATTTCATCTCTCGTGTCCTCCGGGCATCTTTCCGATGTCACTCTTGTCTTTTCGGACAACCGAAGAATCCAGGCTCACAAGTTGATTTTGGCTACGAGTTCACCGGTGATCGAGGTTTTGATGTATGGTGCTATGGCAACAAACAAAATCACCTTAGCTTGCGACTCTTACGAGATGTTCTAGTTGCTGCTCTGCTACATATATAAGGAGGAGATCAACCTTACACAAGTGTTTGTAGGGATTCAGATGTAACATCTTACACACAGGTACCAAGTGGACACACTCGCTCTCTATTGCTCCAAGTACTTGATGGTAGAGGTGACGCTGGCGACATTACCTCTCGTGTACGACTGGACGCTCCTGCTGAGGACTTCCTACTGCTGCATCACTGCACAGGTGTTGGTGATGGCGGCGGACAACGTTCTGGAGTCTTCCGAGATCATCTTTATGCGAAGGTCGTCCCTCTGGCAGCTCTTAACAAACCCGAGGCTCTGCATGTCCTCTGAGATTATAATCATCAAGGCCATCACTGCTTGGGGAGTAGAAAATGCTGGTTACCATCCACATCCAGCAGAGACTAGCCTAGTTTTAACACCTCTGGAGAACGCGAGGCGGAACAGAAGAAGCAATAGCCGCCATGCAGGACAGTGTGGGTCAGTTGTTCATAATGGTGTAGAGCACTTGGACTCCTTCAAACCGGCCACCAGTGAGCTCAAAAAGACGGTGGAGGAGTTCCTGCCCCTCGTGCGTTTCGACGAGATGTCAGTGGAGGAGCTAGTGACTTAGGTGTTTCCCTCTGTTATTTTCACCGGTGATGAATGTGTAGCTCTAGTCATGAATGTGAAAGGCATTCACACCTCTGCTCTCCCTGCTTCCGTCTCTCACATGGAGAACATTGGACGAAAAAGGATGCCAAGGTCGACTATGTTACTATCTCTAAATTCGACGAATGGTTCCAGCAGCTGTTGCTGCTTCTGTTCTGCCTCGCGTTCTCCTGAGGTGTTAAAACTAGGCTAGTCTCTGCTGGATGTCGATGGTAACCAGCATTTTCTACTCCCCAAGCAGTGATGGCCTTGATGATTATAATCTCAGAGGACATGCAGAGCCTCGGGTTAGTTAAGAGCTGCCAGAGGGACGACCTTCGCATAAAGATGATCTCGGAAGACTCCAGAACGTTGTCCGCCGACATCACCAACACCTGTGTACTGATGCAGCAGTAGGAAGTCCTCAGCAGGAGCGTCCAGTCATACACGAGAGGTAATGTCGCCAGCGTCCCCTTTACCATAAAGTACTTGGAGCAATAGAGACCGAGTGTGTCCACTTGGTGCCTGTGTGTAAGAGTTAATCTGAACCCCTACAAAATTCGTAAGTTGACCCCTCCTTATATATTACAGACAGCAACTGGAACATCTCAAAGAGTCCAAAGCTAAAGGGTTTTTTTTTTTCCCATAGCGCCATACTTAAAAACCTTGAAAAACCGGTGAACTGTCCCCAAATAAATTGTGAGCCGGTTCTTCGGTTGCCCGAAAAAGACAAGAGTGACATGGGAAATGCCGAGGAAGAGAGATGAAATCCGTTTTTGTGGTAGTCGGGTTTTCACTGCCAACGAACGAAAAAAAGTTCAGGTAAGATCCCAAATGGGTGGGGGGGGAAGGGGGGGACAGACGAAGAATAGTGCTGGAGAGGAGTGTTCTGTATAAAATGGGCCCGGGTTTAAAACCCAGCAGCTAAGTCGACGGGGGACAGACATTGAAAACACATAGCGGGCTCTTCTTTTGGGAAATCCGGTGGGTGATGGGAAGGGGGGGACAGACATGAACAGTCGTGAGGGAAGGCTTGGTTTAGAATAAAGACCCCGGGGCAAAAACCCCCTCGGGGCCTGCGTGGCACGCGGGGGCAGTGTAAAAGGGGCATGTTGAGGCATAGAGGAGAGAGCAGATGCAACATGCTCGCTGACGATATCTTCGGGCGAGGTGAAAGCTGGTTTGGACGTCGGGTTTTGGGAAGGGTGTTGTGTGTTTGGGCTACACTTCGCGGGTGAGGAAACCCACTCTTGAGTCTTTTGAAGTCTCTCGGACTGTGGAATGTTGCATTCTGGGGTTTGGAGCATTTCAGTTTCGCACGAGGTAAGATATGCCAGTTTTGGTTTATTAATAAAGTTGGTAAATTACCAACAATATGTAAAGTAAAAGGACAAAAGTGCAAATAATGTGACTTTATTGTGGCAACGTTCGCTCTCCAGGAGTTTTAAAAAAAGCCATTACAAAAAATAAGGCACAGAGGGTATATAAAGGTCAGAGTGAGGTGAATATAGGAGGTACCTTTTCGATGTTCACTAGTGGTAAGTAGTAGTATGGTAGTGACAAAAGTAATACAATTTGGAAAGCATTAATTCTACTGAGAAAAAGGTATAAAAGCTACTATTTGGGTAACATAAAAATAGGTTGGAAAAATATAAACTGGAATGAAACAAGTGCTCTTCCATTTATATTTGTCCAACCTATTTTTTTTTCCCAATAATGTTTTTATATCCCTTTACTCATGCGTTTAAATTGCCTACCATTTTGTATTATTTTTTGTCATCCACACACCCTACTCCCACTAGTGAACATCGAAATGGACCTCACTGTATTCACCTCACCTCCCTTTATTTACCCTCTGTGTCCAGAATGTTTGAAATGGCTTGAAAAAGCTCCGGAGAGCGAAAATAAAACATAAGAAAGGAGGAACACTGCAGCGGGGGCCTTTTGGCCCCAACTAACGGGCCTTTAAAATTAAACCCACAAACAAACTTTTGACCACCAATTTTCAATGCAAAACCAAGTAATAACCTGGTGAAAGTCCCACTCAAATCCACCCCCCCCCATCAGTACTTATCCAACAAAAATTTGAAATCCCAAAAAGTCCTGCCTCAATAACCCAACTGGGTGACTTTCCTCACAACTACCCTATTTCCAAACCAATATTCCCTATTCCCTTTTTCAAAAATCTAAACTTTTTCTAATTTAAAAAATCCTTTACTGGGGTTTTCTCCTTGGAGAATATCCTTAAAGACCTTGTTAATATCCCTTTTTTTAATACCTTCTCCACTTATACACTTCGATCAGGTCTCCCCCCATTTTTCCCTCTAACAAGTAATGTAACTTAAATCTTTAATCTTTCTTCATAAGAAGTTTCTAATGCTTGTAAATTTTGTCATCCCACGCGATGTTTTCTAACGAATTTTGTCCTTCTGTAAAATGGAGACCAGAATGCTGCTAATCTAGTGAGGGTTACTAATGATGTAAAAAGCGCAGTATGACCTCTGGAAATTTGTTTTCTTACACTCTTTATATAAATCCCAGTAAACTATTTTCCTTATTACGTAGCTTAGATGAAACATCAAAATGGTAAAAATACCGACAGTTGGAGGTAAGACACAAAGGCAACAGTTTGGGAACTTTTTTCCGAAACGTTTTTGCCTAAAAAGTAGGCTTCTTCATCGAATACAGAAAGAGGGAGGAAAAGTAGAGATTTAAACGATGTAATCATCCCCACCTTAAAGCCCTAGAATTTTTAGGGTCAGTCCCTCGGCCTGGAGAATTTTAGTTCCTACAGGAATATCTGAAGAAGCCTACGTGTAGGCGAAAAAAGTTTTTGGGAAAAAAGTTGCCTAAAATTTTTCCTTTGTTCTTCCCCACCAACGGTACGCTTACATTGCTGTCTTGGTTTTAAAGGTTGGCTTCCATAACCCCCCAAATCCTTTTCGCAATCGTTGGCTAAACCTCATTATTTTAAATTGAAATCAAAAAGGGATATTACCGACAGGTTGTTTGGTAAGACACATATGCAACATTAAACAACTTTTTTTCCCAAACGTTCGCCTACACAGTAGGCTTTTTCAGTCGAATACGAAAGTGGCAGGGAAAAGAAGAGATTGAAGACGAGTAATCATCCATCACCCTTTAAAATCGTAGAATTTTTAGGTTGTCAGCCCCCGGCCCGGAGAATTTAGTTCCATACGGAACTATCTAAAATCAAGCGACAGTGCGGAGAATTAAATACTGGTTTAGAAAGAACTAAGAAAAAATATAAAAATATTTATTAGAAAACGTTTCGTTCCCGGGACCCTTTATCACTTCTAACTACAAGGTAGAAAAACTTTTTATTATAGGCGGGAGTGAGATGGGACGCACGTGACCCGAGGGTGTCAAAAAACTAAAAATGGGGAACACTGTAAAGGCCTACTGGCCCCTGGAGGGAGGGCCTTATCAAAACAACCCCGTCATGATGAGGACCAGTAACGATAAATCATGTGACTCCTGTGTTGTTGTTTGGGATACAGATCTTAAGCAGCACCAACCCAAAAACACAGGAACATATTTCATCGTCTACTGGTCCTCATCAAAACGAGGTTGTTTTTTATAAGGACCTGCCTCGCATGGGGCCCGAGGCCCTTTTACAGTGTTCCTCCATTTTTTATGTCTTAGCATTCCCGGTCACGGCGCACATCCACTCTCCGCCTAATTTTTATAAGTCTTTTACCTCTTATGTTTTGAAGTGACAAAGGGCCCAGGACCCAAAAATTTTTTAATAAATATGTTTTAGGGTTTCTTTCGTGCTTTTTAAAAAAGTATTTAAATCTCCCCACTGTCGCTTTATCTTTAGATAGTTCCTGACTATGGAATGAACTTCCCAGCCGGGGGCGACAACCGAAAATTTTACGCTTTTGGGTGAGGGGCGTTACATCGTCTTCACATCTCTTTTGTTCCTGCCACTTCTTATTCGCTGAAAAGCCTACTTGTAGGCGAAACGTTTTTGGAATAAAGTTGTCTAACTTTGCATATGTGTCTTACTAAAATTATTTAACTTAAATGTAGGGTTAGGACACTTCCGAGCTTCAAACCTTCATTTATTCATTTAACTGCTCTGCCCCTTTTTTTGACCAAGTAAGTTTGCAAATCCTCCTGAATTCCCAACATCACGTTGAATCAATTATCCTACCTATTTCCCTGTCTCGGCGAATTTGCTCAATCCAGTAATTCCCTTTATCAAGTCATTTTAAAAATTTAAACCAACGGGCCCCAAACTGACCCCGGGAAAGTTGCCACAATAAATGTCACATTGTTGGGCCCTTTTTCCCCTTTTCTTTACGTATTTGGTTTTGAAAGACGTAACAAACACTATAAAATTTATTAGAAAAAAGTTTCGGGCCCGGGGCCTTGATCCTTCAACCAATACGCCCTATGTCCTTGGAGTGGTACGTGTATTAGCTCTGTAAACCCGTTTGTGTCTCTTGAGTGGGGGACCGTTTGAGTGCTGACCTGACTTTAAATCTGTGAAAAAGTGTCTGTTTGCCCCGTGGACTGAACCAAGACCCTCCCTCGAGCAAAATTTACCCGCATTAAGGAAGAATTTAAGGCAGCGAAAAGGAGAACGGCGATTGACCGAGGAAAACAAGAGGATTCGTAGTAGTCCTCCCTTTTCGAGTCCCTCAGGTCCAGAGGATCGGAGGTCAGTGGCTGGAACAGCATTGGACGACGAAGTTGACGATCAGAGACGAATGGAAAGCCAGAAACGATGAAGAAGAAAGAGACTGCTGTGGAAACTCCCCGTGAAACCTTCCACCATTCACGGTGCCTACCCTACAATGTGAGTCTACTACTGGATCGTCACGACGAACGACAAGGAAGGTAAGAATAATTGTTGTTGGTTGGGGATAGCCAGGTTTAGATACAGGGATAGGCATTCTGCTTGAAGGACAGGAGTAGGAGAACAACGGGTATGCTTCCTGGGGCTGGGATGGAGACATTTGTTAGCCGGCTTGACAAACATCATGAACGGTAATGGGATCAATCCTATTATATTGCCTCAGTGCTGAGCAATGATGTAGGCAAGCGAGAAGTGAGGCTTTAGTTAGAAAAGTCAGACACTATAGACATGATTAGGAAGAAGGGGGGGCGCCCTGTTATATGTGGCATTTTGCCCAAAAGAGGTGTTGGAAGATGGTTTTTGTCCAGAGCAATGGAATTAATTGTTTGGCTGGATAAACACTGTAAGGATAATGTCAGTACCATTCATTGACAACTGGGACAAACTTCTATTGGCCGAAATGACATGTATGCCCAGGGAGGGGTTCACTTATCCAGGGCAGGGTGTAGGGTTTTTCCTTGCTATCCTCAGTTGAGGGGGTTGTTAGGACTTTAAACTAGATTAGTTTAGAGGTATGGTTTAGAAATGATTAAATAATGAATATGGAATATATTTGACTTATGCTTGATATTACGAATTTTAATATAACGTCATGGAGTAACTCTGGGTAATGATAATTTCAGAAATTGTGTAAAAC